TGGTCTGGTGCTCAGCACGGTGGTCTAATGCTCGAAGGTGGTCTGGTGCGCCATGGTGGCGGCGTCGACGGCGATGCGCACGCTGGTGCGCTATGGGCTCCGGTGGGGTGTCACGGTGATCTCGGTGCGCACGTGGGTGCATGTGTTCCAATGGGTGAGGCAAGGCATCGCCTCACGCGCGCCCGGTGTGGGCGCCATGGCCGACGGTGAGGTTCGGCAGAGAGGGATCGGAAGGCTCACCGTAGGTGTTGTGGGAGATAGGATGGCGGTGCAGTGTCAATTCGAGGCCGTGTAGCTCCGGAAGCCGTGCAGTGCCGTGCCGACCCGCGTCGGTGATGTAGCCGATGGCGTCGCTCCCGGCTCCGGCGATCTCCTCCCCTACGGCGGCTTCGGCGTTCTTTCCCCCCTTCTTCCTCTTCTCCCTCTTCTCTCTAGGTTTGGGTGCGTAGTGGATGGCTACCGAGGTGGCGGCGGGCAACGAAATGAGCGCTAGGGCTCCGAGGACCGTGGCCTTTATAGCCGAGCTCGGCCATGGAGCTCGGTGATCGGCGGACAGGGATCAAGGGCAATCGCGGCGCTTGCTTGCATTCTACGGTCACGAGGGGTTGCGTGGGCGTGACGCCAAGGGGGAGACAGGTCCATGCCCCGAGCATGACCCCCTGGCCCACCCTGTCATTGCTGTCGGGGCTCTGTCGCGCGGTGGTTTGAGCGTTGCGTGGGAAGAAGCTGCTTGCCGACAAGGGGTCCGTTAGCGGGGCCGCGGGCGAAGCCGATAAGGCATGCTGGAAGCGCGTATGTGGCCGTGTGCTTGGGCCAATGTGGCGGCGACCATCATGGGGGCTTGGCAAGTGCGTGGATGTGAGCTGACCTATCAATTGGGCAGCGTCTTGTATGTGGAGGTTGAGGTGGCTGGTGGTGAGCAGAAAGCGGTCGAGCCCGCGAGGCCTTCTTCTTCATTTTTCTTTTTCTGTTTTACATTTCTTTTTCCATTGTTTGAATTTCAAATTTGGTTTAGAATTTGAATTCAAAACTGAGGTAAATTATTTATTGGAGTTTAGAGAATTTTGTTTAATAATAACTTTATGATTTATTATTTTAATGGAATTGTTAGGCATAACATAAAGCAAATGGAAATCCAATTCACAACTTGAATTAACAATGTATGCAACATGTTATTTGTTGGAAATTTAATAATCATAATCAACAAATGATATGCCATGCTTATGTGTTGACTTAGGTTGGGTTACTTCTAATGCAACTCTTAGGGTTGGCTCCTACAATGTCACTCATCATCACATGGGAGTTTTAAGAAAAATTTTGTAGTTGTGATTTTTGGTGTGTGGATTTCTGGGTTGTTACACTGTTCAGTCGCAAATTGTTGTTCAATGATAACAGACAACTGCTACGTTTGGAATGTGCGTGGGCTGATTGGCTGCGGCTGTCGCAATGTTGTTAGTGACTTTGTTTCCCAAATGCTCGTACAGGAGGAGAAGGTGCTCGAGTGGTGGCTGCGCAGCAGGAAGCTTGTCGATAAGCAAGTGCGGAAGGGCTTTGAGTCACTCTTCTTCCTCTTCGGATGGACGCTACGGAAGGAGAGGAATGCGAGGAATTTCAATGGTGTCTCCACAGCCCCGGCAAGCTTGGCGCTCAAGGTTCAAGAAGACACAATTGAATGGTGTTTAGCAGGTTACAAGCAACTACGGTTGCTATTAGCGATTCTCTAGGATCGGTGGCTCAACTGTCGCAAAAAATTTTAACATGTAAATCACAATCACGTGCTGCCGCAGGGCCGTGAAACCTCAGTAATCAGTAGATTACTGCTGCTTCAGTTTGTATTTTTCATTGAACTTTCTACTCCTGCTTAATGAATATCGTGTTAATGCACGTTCGAGAAAAAAAATCTTAGATGATGAGGATTTAATGAGAAATAGTGGGACGAGGAGGAATCGTTGCATATGTTGCTGACCTTGAATGGATAAAGCAAAAGAGGGTTCCACGAGGATCAATTCATGAGCGACAAGTGGTTCCAAGGGACCTCCATGAGGGAAATTTGCGTATTGTTGTGGATTACTCGCTGATCCTCCCATTTTCAATGACAAGTTCTTTAGAAAGTTTCCAATGTCCAAGAATTTGTTCTTGTGCATTGTGGTACAAGTAGAGGCATATCTCTACATTTTCGAATATATAAGCACCCTCTCTATTTTAAAATATAGGTCCTTGTAGTTTTGTCTAAATTCAACTTTTATAATTTTGTTTACCATAAAGCATGTTTGGATTTATTTATTTATTTGGTAGATGTTACTAACATGTCTATGTATTTATTTGGTAGATGTCACTATGGTTTTCTATAAATTTGATAAAAGTTAGAGAAGTTTAAGTTAAACAAAACTAAAACCACCTCTATTTTGGAACATAGAGAATACTTATCTACTGTTAGTAGTAGTACCATTGGGTCAGTGCAATTTGATACAAACTAAAGCTTTACCTATCTATATCTTTTATAAAGCTAATTCGCACTACAAATATATCTTAACATGCAAGTCATGCACATCATCTCTTACTAATAGCCCTATCTTTTTCTTAAACGAACAAGAGGGGTTTTTGCCCCCTATTGAAATTCAGCATGTTCGCTTGTTGGTTTCAGCCAGCCTAAACCAGCCAGCCAATAGTGTTTTACTCTCACAATAAACCAGCACCAGCCAGCCCAAACCAGTCCAGAAATCAACCAGCGAACAGACCGATTGATTAAAATAGGAAAGACGGTTCTGTACAAGCAAAACGACTAATAGTCCTCTCGTCCCAGTAATTTTCAACTTCTTACATGGTGTTTGGTTCATCCTTTAACCGCAAATGAAATCAGCTCACGTGGGTTTAGCCGGTGGGACCGATGATTGCTGACTTTGATTGGTTCGATGTCGTAATGGTAATGGGCTTGTTCGCTTGGAGGAATTCTGGAGGAATTTAGATGATTTGGAGGAATACTAAAGGAATTTATGAGAAAAACATTATTCCGGATAAAAAAAAACGAATCAAGGCAGGTTTAAGAGCATGCGAACAGGCCGATACGGAGAGACGGCTGCAGCGCAATAAAATAAGGCTCAGAGACGAGCGGTATCACTGATGAATAGCACGATATCTCATTATGTGGTATTGCACAACAGACGAATCGAACCAAACGTCGTTATCTAGTCCCCCAAGTAAATAGATTGCGTTACATTTCATTGAATCAAACGCCATCTTAGTGTAAGCTATCCATATTATCTTCACTTAATTTTATTTTTTTTAATCTCCGTTGCAACGCGCGAAATATCTTCTTGTACAAATGGGGAGTGAATCCCAACCATTTCTGCTCCTGATGTGCCTAAAAGCGTCTCTCCTCCTGTAACCTGTCAGCGAACCACGTGTTGGCGTTTCAATGGATGAGATCTATTGTTGGAATTGATTCCGACAGTCAATTGAAGAAGTGTTCCGAGCCCAATAGCCTGCTGAAGAATCTCGTCCCGCGAACGGCACCGGCAACTACCGTCCACCTCGATCAGGTCTTCGAGTCCAATTCGATCGCGTAATCTTCGCTCACGGGTCAATAGCGCCACGGCGGGGTTATAAACTCATGACTCAACAAGCCGCATCATCCACTCCACTGTCCCACCCGACCGACGACCCCATGGCTGCGGCAGAGGCGCCCTGCGACGCCAGCGACGCGCGCACGAGGTTGATGTGCAGCCACGGCGGCCGCTTCCTGCCCCGCGGCCCCGACGGGGCACTGAGGTACGTCGGCGGCGAGACGCTCGTCCTCGTCGTGCCGCGCGCGGCGACCTTCCCCGACATGACGGCGCGGCTGTCGGAGATGGCCGGCGGCGCGGAGGTACGCGCGATCAGGCACCGCCTCGCCGACGAGGGCGTCCAGGACGTGATCGTGTCGGTCACGTGCGACGAGGAGCTCGCGCACATGCGCGACGAGTACGACCGCCTGCGGGCTACGCGGCCGGCCGCGACGTTCCGTGTTTTCGTGACGACCACCCCTCACGCTGGCTCCGGCGGCGGCGTTGTCTGCAGGCGGAGATCGGCGGCCGGACTTCCACCCCTGCCGCTGGAGATGCGGCGCGCGCAGAGCGAGCAAGCTCTCGCCGTGCGCGCACACCAGCAACAGGCGATGCAATGCGTCCAGAGCACGCAGGAGTTCGCAGGGGCCATCCGCTTGCAGCCGTCTTTTCACCACCGTTGCAACCAGCAGTGCTGCAGCTCCTACCAGCGCCGCAACGTGTGAGCGCCTGCGCCGACGGCAGCACAGCCGGTGTGCGCACTGCCCTACATGTCTAAGAAAGTAGCTCCTCCTTGGATGCCAGCGGCGAAGGCAACAGAGCGAGTCTTTGCTATTAGGGTTTAGATTACGGTGACAATAATGTCATCATCATTTGCTAGGAGTAGACTGTATAAGCTGTAAAAATTTCTGAAATGTAATGTCATCTATTTATCCATCCAAAGTTTACTTTGGACGATTTGTGGTTTATTTGTTAGCCTCAACCAAAAAGAATGGTTCCCTATTTCGTTCAAGTACTCAGAAATCTGTAAATACAGATTAATTTGTCAAAGCCAGAGTGGAAGTATCCATTTATTATAGCCTTAATGACATCCATAAAACAATTGCATAATCAGAGATTCAGATTGGAAACAAGAACACAAGGGATAGCAGCATGACAGCATGTAACTAGTGAAGCTAAATCATACTAGAATCCAACTGTGCACTGTCCAGAACAATGAAGTGGCAGCCAACACCATAGGCTTCATTTCATTCAACACTTGGGAAACTATGTAATTCAAATTCAATCCATAAAATAAGTGTTGGGTAATACAGCCACTGTGTTTAAATAACATAACACAGATGGCACTGGGTAAGGAAATGAAAAGGCACAGCCCTACCGGCGGCGTGTCATGGATTCTTGGAAAACAGAGTACAACTGTTACAGCAATGTCAGTACACGATCCGACCTATGCTAAGGCTAGTAGTTGTGCTCCTTCAGAGGCGACCTTCTATCTAGGACATGCCCTGATTTGTTCCTGATCAAAGGTGCATAACTTCTACCATTAGTTTTTTCTGAGGTAAGCCTGTCATTGCATGGTTCCTCCTCATTAACTTTCTGCATGATCCTTCTCAAATTTGACATCATACTTTCACCTCCATAAATTACCTCCCCAATGATATTGGTTAGTCCAGTCAGCTCATCGACCAACTGATTCCTCTCTTGTAGTACAACATTAGACATATCAGTTGCTCTAGACTTTAGCTCTCGCAGATGCTCATCTAATGTTTCATTTCTTTCCTCCAATGATTTCAGCTTAGTTGTAACTTCTAGATGCTCCTTTGCCTTTTCTGACATTTCTGAAGCAGTTTGAGCTTTCAGCTGTTCAATAAGATTCTTCAAATTTCTTGACTGATGCTTCTCTTGCACTAAATTCACCAGCAGGGAGTCAAGTTCTCTTTCGCACTCTGCAATGAGCATATCCTTGAAAACAGTATCATGCTCTTGGATGACGTTAAGTGAATTCAGAGTTTCTGCAAAACCATAAAGCTGATTCACCTCTAGCTGAACTTCTGCCAGTTTTGCTGCTGCAGCCTCAAGAAGGTGCTTGATGTCAAGCTGAACAGATTCAACAGTTTGTCGAATATCAGAAATAGCAATTTCTTTCTCTGCAATTAGTGTATACCAATCTGCTTCCTCTTGATCAAACATTTTCATGAGCTCCTGCTCCCTGCATGCAAATTTCTGCTCAAAGAATCTAAGGCTTTCTTCCAGCTCCAAAAGTTTTTTGTCAGAGACCTCAACAATTTCAGAGTACCTGTTCTTCACTTCGTGAATGGACTTCTCATACTCCATCTTGATAAGACTTCCCAAATCAAGTTTCTGGCCAATGTTTTCTTCTTCGAGCACTGTGATGTATTGCTGAAGCTTATCCATCATCATTCCTTTCTCGTTAATTATACCACATAGCTCCTCCTTTTCTTTTGTATGACACTCCTCAGCGTCCATTTTGGCAATAATTTCAACATCCAAATCTCTCTTCAGTACACAATTTTCATCCATACATGTTTTGAGTTCAGTTTCCATATCTACCTTCACCTTCTCTAAATTCTCCAGTGCTTGCCTTTGCTGATTAAAATTGTTCTCGAACTGGGTCAGCTCACTGTTCCTCTCAGAAAGGGTATATTTTGCCTCATCGAGAGCACATATTAACTTCATCTTTTCTTGTCTAAGGAAATCCTCAGCTTCCATTTTGGCAACAAGAGCAGCATCCAGATCTCTCTTCAGGATACGGTTGTCATACATATAGCTTTCGACTTCAGTTTCCAAATCAATTTTCAGTTTTTCCAAATGCTCAATTGCTTGCTTTTGATGATGGAGATTGATTTCTAACTGGCTCAGCTCAGTCTTCCTGTTAGCAAGGGCACAGTTTGCTTCATCAAGAGCACTTAATGCCTCCCTCAATTTCTCCTGCAGGGTGCTTTCCTTCTTTGAAGCTTCATCTTTTAGGCAGTGAGCATCTCTTGATGTGTTCTCCAGCATCTCTTTGTACGCATCAAGCTGCCTTTGCATCTTCTTTTGTTCTTGTTCCATGTGTTCTAACTCCTTGATTCTTGCATACAATTTTGCTATAACCTCAGATTGTTGTTTCTGTTCAGCTTGAGACTGGACAATAGTGCAAGATTGTTCTTCTAACTGTTTCTTGGCAGAAGCAATTTCCTTCTCAATTTCTTCACAATGATGCTGCATATTCAGTTGAGCAGTATCAACAAATGAGCAGGGCTCATGAAATTTTGCCTGCACAACAGTAAGAATTATCAAAGCTTCCCAGTTCTCCACTATTTGTAGCTCAAGGGACCCATAACTACCCAGCAACTCATTCTGCAGTTGCCCAATAAGAATATCTTTGGATTCTAACTGTGATAAGCGTCCATCCAAGTCATTCACAAGCTTTGCCATCTGCAATCTCCATTCTTCTTCCTTACCTCGTAGCTTCTCAGTGCAACTTCTATGTGTCTGCTCCAAGGCTCGGAGCTTCTCCCGCAGACTTTTCAATGAAACAACAGCATCTGCACCACCAATCTGTGCCTCCTGATACTCCTTGAGCCTTGACCGTAAATCCTCATTTTCTTGTTCAAGATGTGTCTTCCTGTATCCCATTTCTTTGAGTAATGTAGCCTTCTCAGCCAGTGAGCTTCTCAAAGATGCTATCTCCCCATCCGTGTTGGAGCTCAACGACTCGACCATTGATTTGGCCCCTTCATATTCAGAGACCACATTGCCATACATGTGGCGCAACTCAGACATCTCTGCTTCCACCCGCTTCCTGCGACCTTCCTCATGGGCCAATGCCTGGCTGCACATATCAAGCCTCGACCGGAAATCCTCCGCAACCCTGGTCTTGGAATCCAAATCAGCCTCAAGTGTGCCAATCCGATTAACCAAAGTTGATCTATCTGAGCCCCACTCCTTCTTGGCAGCCCTGAAGTCATCTTGAACCTTCTTGAGTGCCTCCTCGAGGTGCCTGAACTGCTCAGCCTTCCACTTGAGCTTGCCCTCGACGGCGGCCTTCTCCTCCTCCAGCTTCACCAGCATGTCGTCCCTCATCACCACCTCCCTGGGCGCCAACGCCCTCTTCTCAGCCTCGCCGCACCTCCTGTCCTTCTCTGACAGGAGCCCCCGAAGCCGCGCGACCTCGTCGTCGCGCGCGCGCAGGGCGGCATCGTGCTCCACGCGCCTCCCCTCGGCGTCCTCGAGCGCCGCGAGGAGGCCCTTCTTGTCGCCCTCGAGGCCCTCGATCTTCTCCCGGAGCGTGCCCTTGAGCGCCTCGTGCGCCGCGCAGAGGTGCCTCAGCGCCTGCTCCTTCTCGGCCAGCCTGGACTCCAGCACCCCGCACCGATCCCCGGTGGCGGCCGCCTCCTCGGCCATGGCCGCGGCCTCCGCCGCATTGCGTTCCGCCTCCGCCCGGGCATCCCGCAGCCGCGCGGCCTGGTCCGCGCCCGCGCGCTTGAGGCCGTCGGCGAGGTCGGACTTGGCTCGGAGCTGGGCGGTGAGCGCCTCCACCTCGGCCCGCAGGTCGTCCAGCTCCTTGCTCATCTCCTCCATTTCCGCTGGCGAAACAAAATCAGAGGAAAACGTCAACACAAGACCCAAGCAAATTAACCAAATCGCGCTGCAGAGGCGGGCGGCGGCGGGCACCTTTCAGGGAGGAGCAGGTCGGGAAGAATGAACGGGACATGGAGGGGTCAGGAGGCTAGGGGCTCGGCATGGACGGAGCGAGCAATTGCGGCGCCGATCCAAGGCTCGGTTCTGCTGGCAGTGAGGAATGGGGATGGCGAAACCCTAGCGTGGAGTGGAGGGGGAACGAGAAGGATTTGAAATTTGGGAGGATTTACCTGGGAGGAGGGGGAGTGAGGGCGGAGGAGGTGGTGCGGCGCGGCCGCAGAGGAAATTATTACGATGGGAGTTACGATGAAAATGGTATAAAAAATACCATATCAGTGACTCATATCAGTGCAAGACATCCGTAATAATAGTGGTAAATATATAAATGTCTCGGCCGCATGAGGCGGAGGTGGATCGGATCTAGGCGGCCGGCTCCGTTCCGTTTTTACCGGCCCTGCATGTTTGCAGGATTTGAAATTGGCTGCGCGGCGGCCACTCTGCCTGGTGGGAAGCAGACTGTAGGGCTTGTGCTGACGGTGGGGCGCGCACGCACGCAATTTGGGCCTATCTCAGCCTCAATACCTGAGTAAAACTGGCCCAGTTAAGCTAGCTCGCTGTACCCACGGAGCCACCTAGGCCTAAAGTGATTTGCAGGCTTCAGGGGGCTCCACCTAGGCCTAAAGGGATTTGCAGGCTTCAGTGAGCCCTACAGTCTAATTGATGTCGCGGGCTGGCTTGTACAAAGGCCCCGACCCATGGGCTCAAAGGTTTGGCTAGTCACTGTCGATCAGGAGCCCACATGGTCAGCAGCCGGGGTTGGTGCAGGCTGCGGCCTCCGGAGGTAATAGTGAGGAACCGAGCATTAATTAATGCAAAACGACTCACCTGCCGATCCCAATCGCCTGCCTGATCGTCGTCGGTCAGACAGATACCGAACCGAGACCGAGAGTGCAAAAGCCCAAACTTTCCCCCTTCCATTCCACGCACAAACTTTCCCCAGCTGCGTGCGCTCGCCCAACTACCCCGCGCGCGGGCAGGTCTTGCCATGGACGACGCCACGGTCGCATCGCGGCAGCGCCAGCAGCAGCCGGCCTCGCTGGCGACGACGAAGGATTCCAGGGCCATGATGGCGGAGCTGGACGCGCCGCTGCACGCCCTCGGGTTCGAGATGGAGGAGCTCTCCCCGTCGCGGCTCACCGGCCGCCTCCCCGTCACTCGCATCTGCTGCCAGGCTAGTACTCCTGCTTTGGTGCTTGCTAGAAGTCTTCCCTTTCCTCCTCGCGGCGAGCGAGTTTAATAAGCTAACATCGACACGGCAACCTCGCGCTGATATATAATATGATCCAGCCGTTCAAGGTGCTGCACGGCGGCGTGTCGGCGCTGGTGGCAGAGGCGCTGGCGAGCATGGGCGCGCACATGGCGTCGGGGTACAGCCGCGTCGCCGGCGTGCAGCTCAGCATCAACCACTTCCGCAGCGCGGCCCTCGGCGACACCGTCCTCGCGCAGGCCGTCCCCGTCCACGTCGGACGCTCCACCCAGGTCCGCCGCCCTTGGTTTTCCCTTCCATCATCCATGATTGCATCATCCCCCTTTACGACCATCGCCGGCCATCTCGACCACGCCTCACAACTGCTCCCCGCACGATCGGTGAACCCAGAGTGGGTTTGGAGCGTTGAGGCCCGTTAGCTTTTACTAGCATTTAGCATATAAAACCCAGAACTAATTAACTTTTAGTTTAGTCATGGGATCAAACACCCTCTAGTTCTATCTCTGTTAATTTCGATTGCGTGGCCGTGCTCATCACCGCACGGACCGTGTGGATTCCGTTAAATTTAATTTGATAATAAACTATATATTCGTTAGAGATTTCATTTTCTGTTTTCTGATTTTGAGATAGGAGATTTCTTTACTTTAGCACTCCCTATATTTTATCAAAATATATAAGATGCCGTTTGGCATATTTAATTAAAACACTGTAAAACAGAATCACCTATATTATATCGTTCATGACTATAAAACCTATTGCATATGAAAGGGATTTCAAATATGAATCTAGTTGTGCTAAAGTCATATCCCACAATGAAAAACTCTTTGAAATACTTTAATTTTTATCTCAAAATACATTACACCTTGTAAATAAAAAAAAAGAGATGGAGACTTTGGTGGTTTGTTGTCCACATACAACACTTTGTGATGGCGATGGTTAATGTTTTTCGGTGATTTACCTCTTAATGAAAAGAACAAACATCAACATACACTTTCTTAAGAAAAATATATAGCTATGCTCCTCTTCAATTGACTAAATCTTTTATTTCTAACTAGCAGCATACATATGCCGTCAGGTCTAGGTAGAGCATCAGTTACCAATAGTGCTTGGTGGGAAAGCCAGACGGCAATAGTTTGGTTACTTGGCCAAATAGTAATCTAGGGCACTGGTTTTGAGTGTCTGGTAGCCAGAATTTGTCAAGGCAGCAGTCAAACATGGCCTAAGTCTTTGGGCTAGTGTAGTGGGGAATGGAGATGGCAAAACCCTAAGGGCTTATTTGGCTATATATCAAGGGGTGAATGTCACGTGAGAACTGAACCAGAGTGTGATTGGTGGTGCTCAAACCTCTTTCATTCGTTCCCAGAAATCCACTCAAACAGAAAATAAAAAGGAACTTCAGAACTTGTAAACAAAACATTGAAGCTCAAACCATATCCAATCCTTCAGATTGGACACGAAAAGGCGTGATGAATAATGGTGTCAAGCAGAACCTATCAATCGAAGCACGGACACACAACAAAATCTCGAACTTGACTAGCCAAATCCGCTCAAATTAGAGAGGGAGAAGGACGATGAGAGAGAGAGAGAGAGAGAGAGGAAAACAAAAGAGAGTGAAGAGCTAGCAGCACAGGTCCTCAGAGCATTCATTCCCTGCTTTGAGTAACGGTGTTATTTTCTCACTTCGATATGACATGTTTTAGGCAGAGCTTTGGTCTTAGCCAAATGTTATGCTCATTCTCGCCCCATCACAACTAACCATGGAGGGGAACAGAAAGGGTTTGAAATTTGGAGGGTGTACCTTTTTGAAAAAAAAAAGGGAAGGAGGACTGAAAGCTTGGAACCAGGAGGTGTCGCGGGCTTGCCGCGTCAACGCTTCAGCGGGAGGCGGATTGGATTGGACCTGGACTGGGCAGCCGCCGGCCGGCTCCCTTCCGTTTTCACCGGCTGTCCACGTCTCTAGACACTAGAGTAGCAGTAGCAAGGATTTGAAATATAATCTTCCGCCCTTCCAACAGCAATGCGACGCAACTGAACGTGCACACGGTGAGCAGGACAGGGCAGTAGCGGCTAGCTGATCTGCCCGTGCATCACGGGACGCAGCACTAACCGGTCCGAACCGGGGCTCCGAGAACATGCGTGGTCCACCATGGCGGCGCACTGTTGGGCCACCGGCAAGGTCGCTGTCTCAGCCGCGGGACCGCGGTCCCAGCCATTCAATTCGGAGTAGCAATGCGCCAGAGCGTTGGTGACCTGAGTACCTGACCATGTTTGGAGTGAAACACTACTACTAGTATTTCGGGTCATCTAAAAAATGGAAAAGATCTACTGGCACTATCTGAATGCACCAAGAAAGTCGAAGACGACCGTGACCGGAGAGGACAGAGGAGCCCACACGGCTGGGATCAGGGGATGGTCATTGGTGCCGGCGGCGGTCTGCGTGCGGAGCCACCAATCCCGATCTGATCGTCGGTCAGTCTCGGCCGGTCCGTCAGGCCCGTCCACACCAACAAGTCCCTTCACCCAGTCCTAGCCGCACAACCCAACTACCCCGCGGCAGGTGACGCCATGGACGACGCCATGGCGGCAGCCGGCTGGTTCCGGCGCTAAACAACAAGGTTACAAGCCGGTGGTGGTTAGTTGTAAGTTATCGATCTTTGCCACAAACCACTTCAACTGCAAGCACGGATCGCGTTGTCCGTTCGATTTTGCTTTCAGTAGTGATGCTATCTGAAACGAGATTTGGTCTTCCGTGCGCTTGTTTCTTTCGTTAATCGTTACCGAGTTTCACTGTCCTGGGCTCGTGGCTTGGGTGTGTTTGGCTTATCCGTAATGGGATATGCATTACATTTTTTTTTGGTTATTTCTACAGACAGTTCATGCCATAATTTCTGAAATGCAGCTATCCACTTTGAGACATGAGAATGGACGGAGAGTACCGAGCGTGGGATGGGAGATGGAGCCATCCTATTCTTGAAAATAGTGATGCGACTATCGCATCTTTAACAAAAACACTAAAAACAGGGAGAGGGTCATCCTATCCTACCTCATTCTCCAGTCTCCAACTAGACACTACCCATAGCGACGATGGTCAGTGTCCGGTGACCTTGCTAAATGAAAAAAAAAGGATTCCGTGATAAATCACATGGATGAGTAATAAAATCCTTAGAATGGATAAAAAGTCGAAGGACGTGTTTGGTATGATTTGTCCACCACGCCTTAGGTAGGGCGCAACAAATGAACTAGCGAGCAAGGCATAGGCAGCGCTGAACCATGTTCCTTACAACGTAGATTCCACACGATTGCACTAACCACCGGTTGTTTGCTAGCGCAATTAAGTGAAGCAAAATCACAGTACTGGTGGAAGTTGGCTAGCATAATAAAGGATAGCTAATTGAGGCTCGGCACATCTGAATCATCTAAGGTAGTAACAAACAAGCTTGCCCAGATGGACCCCTCTCTCTCTGCACTCTGCAGTCCTCCATTGTCAGTGACTCATCCTTAGTTTAGTGTCGACTAACAAAATAAGAAACAGAAATAACTCCGTCCCTTCTCAACTAAGCAGTAGATAAAATCATCCCATCTTTAAAAACTGAAACGAGGCTATCCCAACCTACTTGATTCCCAAACCAAACGTCACCCAAAAGCAAAACTCTATGATGTGCTTGTTTTGCATGTAATACATTTATTTTATCTATGTTTTCTTTTGTGAGAGTTCTGCTGTTGAATATATTCATACTATGATCTGCTACTACAAGTCTACAACTCGTTCCTTTTTTTCTGAACTCTTTCTGAAAGAAAAAATCGATTGGAAAGGTTTGGGAGGTAAAGCTCTGGAAGATGGATCCATCAACAGGAGAGAAGGGGCCTCAGATCGCCGAATCCAGAGTCACGCTGCTGTCTAACCTGCCGTTGCCGGAGGAGCACAAGAGGGCAGGAGATGCTCTAAAGAAATATGCATCAAAACTGTAGAAAAGAACCTTCAAACTGATGAAAGCCTTGCATCTTGCAGGTTTCACGGATCTGATGGATGTTGTAAAAGCATTGCCTATAATAATATTTCTTATTTACCACCAATTTCTTGTTCTGTACGTACGTCTGTACCATGTGTCCCGTTGAGCCTTCATCAACACTACACAACAAACAGAAGACCTTTTTTGTTCAACATACATACTGTATGACTTAATGCCATCGGTTGCAAAAACAGGCGGTGAACTTTGTCGTAAATAAAGGTGAAAATGGTTGTAAAGGAGGGCAATGCAAAGTTACTTGGGAAGATGTTTACCTCCCCGAAAGTAAAGGTGGTCTTGGCGTTCCGGATTCTTATACCGGATTCTTATAGCAAAACTCAAAAACACAAGTCTCCTAGAAAAATTCATCTACAAATTTTGCTGTGCTTATCCTACCTCTTGGATCACTACGGTTGGAAATTGGTATGAAACACATGACTCCGGTGATAATATCTCTGATATTACCCCTCTCTGGAAAGATTATCTATGGTGAACTCCCCTCTTTCAGAGTAGAACGAGGACTTTAGTTGGCCGTGGCAAGATCGCGCACAGCGACAGCGAACACATTTTTAGCTGCCTTGAATAGTGGATACAAGACTGAAAGTGCCACACCAAAGAACTTGATAAAGCAAGATATGGATATTTGGGACACTCGACTATCATTTGTTACTTCAGTCATGCATGTCTGAAGCTAACGCAGTCCTAATTTTCCACATGGAAGGTAGTGATTCAGCCAATTGCTGCTTACCCACTTAGTGAGGCCCTTTTCCCTATGCTTCCCATTCTCGAAATGCATACAGGAAATGCCGAAATGATGGGGATCAAAATGCATGGGACCAAGCTCTCTTCGATGCTACTCTCTGACAGGAACACAAAAAGAACTCTTGTGGCTTGACATTTGTCCCCTCTTGCCCCTTCCTCTTCACCATTTCGACGAATATATAAGGAAGCAGCTGGTGTCAACATATGAAAAGGTCAAGGGAGAAGAGTCAGGTACATGTATTGAACGGGGATGACAGCGGAAAAAGGTGAGTGCATGTTGTCATATTTACTCACTCATCCCTATTAACCAATTTTTTTGCACGTGTCCCGCTTTTTTCCTATTTTATTGAGGATTGGTGAGGCACAATTGAATTCAAATATTGAAGATCAGTGTTTGCTTATATAAATATCTCAAAAATGGCAGTAAAAATCTTGTGTCGCGCACGGAGTTTCGATGGGTAACACATGAGACATAGAGGATTATAATGGTTAGTATACCCTTTTTTCTTTCTTATAAAAGGAAATGATAGGAGCTCTATTTTGCATTTAAGTATGAATTGAAGTATAAAGAAACAGTCCGGTCACAATGGCAAAGAAGCTGCAGCTATGTACCAAACTACCTCAACCAAGGATAAACAAAACAAACTCAACACAAGAAAAACTCGAAAACCCCCATTACAGGTTTCGAAAAGCATGACACCATTGTTCAATGTCTTCTGTTCCTAGCGCAACCATTAAAGGCTTGGATCATTTATTTTGAAATGCATACAGGAAATTGTTGGGATCAAAATACGACAAAGCTCTCTTCGGTGCTATTTTCTCACATAAACACAAAAAGAATCCTTGTGGCTTGACATTTGTCTCTTCCTTTTCACCATTTGGACGAATATGTAAGAAAGCCGGTATCAACATATATATGAAAAGGTGAAATTGAACGGAGACAGCAACAGAAAAAGGTGTGAGTGCATGTTGTCATATTTACTCATTGAGAAGAGTAGGTGAATACGTCGGTAGGGAAAACTAGATGAGCAGGACACTATGCAGTATTAACCATATTTATCTGCACGGTGTCCTACTTTTTCCCTACTTTATGGTGGATTAGTGAGGCACAATTGAATTAGGATATTGAAGATCAGTGCCTACTTATAAAAAATATCTCAAAATGGTAGTGTCGGTGTTTTGTACTATCATCAAGTAAAATTTATGTCATGCACAATGTTTCGATGGGGTAGCACACGAGACGCTAAAGATTATACTAGTTCGAGTGACCAAGCCCTGTGTCGGGAATGCAGTTGCTTCTTGTTCTTGTTTTGTGTTTTTTTTGTTCATCTTTCCTTGGCGGTGTCGTCATACTCGGCAAAGATTCATCAGATTAATTGCCTCGCGTGTCACTGAGCTCTCTGGTTGTCTGGGCGGCGTCCTTTTTGACGGGTGTTGCGGTTGGGGGAGTCTCCTCCTTCATCAGTCCTTCATTAGTAATGTCTAGAGGGATGGTAGTGTTGTCAAGATTGATCAAACTGGCGTCACGTCTTCCTCGTACACCAGTTAGGTGGGACGTCTACATTTGTACCATCTACTTAAAAAATATAAATCTTGTGTCACATCTCGACTCTAAAAAAGAAGCCTATAAAACTGCTCAACATTTCTCCCTTTATGTTTACATGGCTTTCATGATATTCTCCTCCTGTACTGTAGTCAATGAACGCACCGAATCATGTTTGGGCACGACACAACATAACTTAGGGCAGATCACCTTCAACCTTTTTCAACTTTACGTCAGGTTCACAAAAATATTCATCCGTGTATGTTTGAGTCAATCTCTGATCAACCTTTTTTTATAGAAGAATAAACCATACTACACCTAGTATTAATTATACGCATTGTGATTTATTTTATTTTAATAGAATTAAAAGTAAATCAGGACTAATTAAAATCCAACAACATGGCAAGGAAGCTGTGGATGCTGCCACTGATCGAGTTGATTTGTCGAACGCGGCCAAGGACCCAAGGGTCTAAATCTGCTTGCAAGTCTGTCCGTCTGTGCGCCGCCGCCATGAGTGCGAAGTCGAGGAACTCTGACACGTCGACATCTGGCACATCCTTCGTCACCAAGCAGCGAATGCAGAGATATCTTGGCTCTTGTTCACTTGCATGGAGTGGTGCTTTGGAAGATACGTTTACGACAATACCCGTCTCACATGGCTAAGTAGTAGTAAAAAAGAAAAATGTTTAAGTAACTAGTCAGATAATAAGGACACTATCAGACATGGTTCTGCCTTATCTCGTTTCACCGTGGATACTTTTTTTTAATAAATAATGAAAACAGTTCCGGTCTATTTTCTTTAAGAAAATTAGAGGTAGCAGAATCAAAATGTTTAGTGCTTACCTCGAATCGCTGGTGGAGGGCATGTCTTTTCCCGGTGCTTCACATTCTCACAGAGCATCAAGAACAGAGAAGATGAAAATGGCACGAAGGCTTTTTTTAGTGTGGCAGACCGCTGACCCGAAAATACAGATGAACTCTTGTTGCTTGCGTTTTGTCCTGTATTCCCTCTTCATGTTTCTCAATTTGTTGGTAGACGTTTAAATAAGGAAGATGGCATCAGTTTTTATAGAGAGGAGGAAAAGAGGCATGCCACCATGTACAATGTATTGAATTGATGGTACTAGCAAGAGTGGTGTAAAATTGCTTAAATGAGAAGAGGTAGTGAACATGTCAGTAATAAATCAGTCTTTAATTTTGATTCATTTTATAATTTACTAACATCTACTCCGTCTCTCCATAAATTTAAGTATTTTTAAGGGTAGGACAGATTTGAGGAGAAAGAGAAATGGTTATGATGCCCCACAATTAATCACCATGATATTTTAAATGCAATTTCTACCGATGCCACAAATGGCAGGAGCTAACTAAAATTTTAAGCATAAAGATTACATTGACATGCACTAATTAAATGGTAAGCGCCAATGATACTAAATTAATGATAATGGAGAAGGAGGGGTGGATGGATTATGCCAGAAGTGCTTACATTTGTGGATTATGCCAGAAGGAGGGGTGGATTAGGATTGGGAGATTATAATACCGAATGAGTGCACTATCAAAGCATAAATATAAATCTTGTTGCACTATCAAAGCTTGCTCTGTTTGGTTGACTGTTAGTGTTTGGAAGAATTGTACCATTTAGGCTTCCTTGTTAATTTGTTAGCCGTACCCTTCCCACTAAATTATAGTTTGTTTTAATTTTTGCCTAAGTATATTTCTCTAACTTTCATCAAGATTGTAAAAAAAAAATCATCAATATGTACAATCTCAAATTAGTTTATAAAATTCTCTGTCAAATTAGGAAAAGTTTGACTTGGATAAAACCAAACTAATCTATAATTTGGAACAGAGAGAGCAAGTGGTAAATGAAATCAGCCTTTTTTTTAAAAAAATTGGGATAATGTCGAAAGCGGACTATGAGAAAGTGAAACAAATTAACAAATTAACCTAGCATCAGAGAGGATCCTCTGGAAAAATACATGCCGGTACGTATCAATGAGGAACACAGATAATTCAAGCCAAAAGCTTTGCCCTGAAGTACACAATAATTGCTTCAAGAGAGTTCAAGTATGTGACTAAGCATGACAACATAACGTAAATACTAAAGATTCATCACCTGCCATTTATCTTTCATTAATTAATTATACACATTGTTAATGAAATTAATGTCTTAAAAATAAGAAGCACATCGTGTAAGCCAAATAGAGCAAGCTAAAGAGTTTAGAAAAATTAATAATACATTAAGTCCACCCTCCTTCCGTGCCATATTATACTTTACCCAGAGCAGTTTCGCAAGCGATCGAGTCAGCCTCTTGTCAGATTTATGTTTCTGGTGCCAGTGTGTCGCACGGTTATCTGACGATCGAGCACAGCACCGTGTCCACTGTCCACTCTCATTGCATGCCATTTCACCCGTCAGTCATCACATCCTTCGGCACAAAGCTTTTGGAACGAGCAGAACCGCCTGTTTTTAGCTGCCTTGAATAGTGCATACAAAACTAAGAGTGGCACCAACGTCGCTACCCGTCCCTAGAAAGAAGAATGTGTAAGTAACTAGACAAATCAGGATATTTGGACACTCGGCTGCCGTTTGTTACTTCAGTCATGCTTGTTTGAAGCTAACGCAGCACTAATTTTCCATAAGAAAGATCGTGATT